GTACCCGGAGGAAACCTACACAGACACGGGGAGAACATGCAAACTCTACTCAGAAAGGCTCTGTTCTGACGGGGATTCGAACCCAGGACCTTCTTGCTAACCACTCAGCCACCGTGCCGCCCACACATCTAAATAAAACACCAATCATGATGTTATGGCAACAGTAGGCGTATGGAGTAATGATAAGTCTAATGGTGCGGGCTGTCGCTGTCCATGGTGCTGAACGACACATGGTCTGTATTTAGTAGAATGCTTATAAGAACCATGTGAGTCACTGACACTGACCATGTGGCAGAGGCTGAACATACATGACCGGGGAAACTTAGACTGATTATATTACTGTGTTAGTTTTTGGGTTGGACATTTGGAGTTTGATGGTTTGATGGGTTGATGGTTTGATATTCCTGGTTTAACTACTGAACTTGATTTTGAAAAGTAAAAAACAACAAAAATACATGAAAGAAAACCTCAAAAATGCGACGCCTTGTTTGCGCTCTCCATGGTGCTGAAATAGATCTCATTAATCTTCTTTTGGTCTCTGTCTCTGGTCTCTCTCTCTGGTCTATCTTTGGTCTCTCTGTGGTCTCTCTCTGGTCTCTCTCTGGTCTCTCTCTGGTCTCTCTCTGGCCTCTCTCTGGTTTCTCTCTCTGGTGTCTCTCTGGTCTCTCTCTGGTCTCTCTCTAGACTCTCTCTGGTCTCTCTCTCTGGTCTATCTTTGGTCTCTCTATGGTCTCTCTCTAGTCTCTCTCTCTGGTCTCTCTCTGGTCTCTCTCTGGTTTCTCTCTGGTCTCTCTCTGGTCTCTCTCTGGTCTCTCTCTGGTTTCTCTCTGGTCTCTCTCTGGTCTCTCTCTGGTCTCTCTCTGGTTTCTCTCTCTGGTCTCTCTCTGGTCTCTCTCTGGTTTCTCTCTGGTCTCTCTCTGGTCTCTCTCTGGTCTCTCTCACTGTGGTCTCTCTCTGGTCTATCTTTGGTCTCTCCTTCTGGTCTCTCTCTGGTCTCTCTCTTAGATCTCTCTCTCTGGGGAGTCTAGAAGTTTGAAAGTCAGGTCTCTCAGCTTTAAGCGTCTGATCCAGTCTCTTCTCCTCACATTCTGCAGAAATTGTACGTAAAAGTGTTTTGATTTTTAACTTCACTCACTTGGTGCTAAAAGCGGTTGTAAACTTGAAATGCAGTTTGTTGGAAGGCTAAATGCTAACTGCTGCTAAGTGTTGCTATGGTAACTCACAATGTATTTTCTCTACAGGAAGACCGACTGACTGGACTCCAGGACCCTGAGACACTACAATACATCTCTCTCTCTCTGTGTGTTCTCTCTCGGGTCAGTCTCTTTCTCTCTGCTCTCCCACTGGTCTCTCTCTCTGCTCTCCCTCCGCTCTCTCTGGTCTCTCTCTCTCTGGTCTCTCTCTCTGGTCTCTCTCTCTGGTCTCTCTCTCTCTGGTCTCTCTCTCTCTGGTCTCTCTCTCTCTCTGGTCTCTCTCTCTGGTCTCTCTCTCTCTGGTCAGTCTCTCTCTGGTCTCTCTCTGGTCTCTCTCTCTCTCTGGTCTCTCTCTGGTCTCTCTCTCTGGTCTCTCTCTCTCTGGTCTCTCTCTCTCTGGTCTCTCTCTCTCTCTGGTCTCTCTCTCTGGTCTCTCTTTCTGGTCTCTCTTTCTGGTCTCTCTCTCTCTCTGGTCTCTCTCTCTCTGGTCTCTTTGTGTTATGGATATGAAACTTCCAAACAAAACATTCCCAGGTCTGTTGTAGACGAGAGAGCCGTGCTGTAACATGTTTAAAATATCAAAAAGCTCATTCATGAATTCTACGTCTCCTTTAATTCACATTTTCCTGGATCTCGTCAAATCCGGGTCAGCAGAGATCTCTCGAAGCCGGGTCAACAGAGATCTCGTAACATCCGGGTCAGCAGAGATCTCGTAAAATCCGGGTCAGCAGAGATCTCGTCGAAGCCGGGTCAGCAGAGATCTCTCGAAGCCGGGTCAGCAGAGATCTCTCGAAGCCGGGTCAGCAGAGATCTCTCGAAGCCGGGTCAGCAGAGATCTCTCGAAGCCGGGTCAGCAGAGATCTCTCGAAGCCGGGTCAGCAGAGATCTCTCGAAGCCGGGTCAGCAGAGATCTCTTCGAAGCCGGGTCAGCAGAGATCTCTCGAAGCCGGGTCAGCAGAGATCTCTCGAAGCCGGGTCAGCAGAGATCTCTCGAAGCCGGGTCAGCAGAGATCTCGTCAGAGCCGGGTCAGCAGAGATCTCGTCACAAACTCCTTTTTGTCTCAGTGATGACAGACTTTCCGCTCCGTGATTGTCTGAGAAAACAAAACCTCGGCCTCCAGCGATCTCATCTTTCTATACACGAGAATACGCCCTCGCCATCAGGAGCGCGAGAAAGGACGGCGGCGAATCAAACGCTGGCGCAGATGTCGGGGACTCGGCCATTCCTCCTTCGCCGCAGCTTTTGTCTCGTCTTCACAAAAACAACAATGGCTCAAATGTGATTGCGTTGGGACCACACAGGGGCTGGTGTGTGTGTGTGTGTGTGTGTGTTAGCTGGTGTGTTAGCTGGTGTGTTAGCTGGTGTGTTAGCTGGTGTGTTAGCTGATGACCAAAGTTGATTAACATAAATGGATGTCCAAACATGTCCTGGACCATCGGCCTGTTCTCTCTATGTCTACGCAGGTTTCCTCCTGGTGCTCCGGTCACTGTACAGTACATTGGTATATCATGTGTGTGTGTTCTCCGTGGTTGGCTGTAGTATTATATAGACTAGAATAGTATTTCTGCTGCATCACTCCAAACACAGCCACAGCTGCCCTGGGGCACACTGACAGAAGCGAGGCAACCAGTCTGTGCCATCGGCCCCTCCCACCACCACCAACCATTCAACCATTCACACACACACACACACACACACACATAGACGTTTTTGTTACCTGGTGGGTCCCTTTGACAGGGCCGTTCAGAATGGGACCCATAGACATAATCTTTTTTTACTGGGACTACTTTAAGTAATACAAAACAGTCAATAGAAACCAAACAACTATTTTAAAGGAATTTTATTTTAGATTTTTTTTTCGAATTGCAGTGATTCTATTTTTGACATAGAATTTAATGCCACTCCATGTCCGATGTCTAAGGTCATCTGGTGAGGCATTAATGCAGGCCAGGCAGTGAGACTTCCCAGGGACCTTTCCAGTCTGTATGAAAGGTGTCATGGTCTTCTCCACAGCCTTCACCTCAGATGCAGACCATGGCTTTCTTACACGTTCTAGGGAGAGAAATAAAAATATATTAGCAATATACACTCCCAGGGTTAGGACCAAGCAGCCTGGCTGTAATCCCCCACCTGGTACACTTACCAGAAGGGGCACTGCCACTACCATGGGGTGCATCTGGATGAATTGTTGAAGGTTCTCCGCTTGAAGTTTCTTTTAGCCCGTCCGTTTGTGAGAGGATCTCTACTGCTCTCCCTGTCGCACAGAAAATAAAAATACAAGTGGCCTTTAGGGGAAAAAAATCATACA